ATATATATATATATATATATATATAGGTGTGTATGTGTGCGCGCGCGCGCTCGCGTGTATATAACATTATGAATGAGCATATATATATATATATACCAAAAAGTTATCTAATGATAAAGTTGTTAATTTTAGTTTAGAAACAAAGTGAATTGTTTTATCATAAATAGATTAAGCAATAAAATTGTTTTAAAAAAAGTTAAAGGAAAACTATGTTTTTTTTTATATTACTGTATAAATATAATGATTTGGAATTCAAGCCAAAATTGTTGTTTAACTTTGCCATTTTAATAATAATAATTTTTCTCGTTAATAATTAATGATTAACATTGATCGAAAGCTTCGTAAAATTAGTGCACTAAAGTTGTTTGATGAAAGTTCTTGACGCAACACTAATGTTTCGTATACATGTACACTCTATTTTTTTAAATAATAGTATTGCGCGACATTATTAATATTCATTCTATTGCTTTTGTGAAAGATGTTAAAATAAAATAATGCCGTATTTAAGATGAAAAGCTGCAGATTAAAGTAAAGTTTATACAATCGATGCCAAATAGATAAAAATATTTAATGAAAATTATATTATAATAGTAATTTGTATCTTCATGTTAATAATATAATACTATTATTATTGCTATCATATAATAATAAATATTAAAAATATCTTTATATAATAATAATAATAGATTGTTCATTTCATCAATTAAGCAACTAGTTTATCGAATAGATTTTATATTGAAAACTTAAGATCCATAAGTTGAAGGTAATTGTAATTCCATATAAAGTTTGTGTATAAAATTACGTTGATTGAATTAAATGTTTGAAACAAAAAATTCGCATATTCTTTTATTCTGAGCGTGCAATCGTTGCTTTCGAAAATATAACAAAGAAAATTGCAAACCCTTGAAAAAATTCTTTTGATCAAATTCTTAAAATATTTGTACTTAAAAAATGTTAAGTTTCAATTATAAAAGGCCAATTTTATAGTCTTAGTAGAAGAAATTTGTATCAGACTTTTCCTATGTAATTATTATAATATTAAGAATTATATTAATATTTAAAATAGGATAAAATTAAATACAAAGCTGATTATTTAGTATGATAGATGTAAAATATTTAACGTCTCAAAGTATGGAATAAACAAGATATTTGATTTATTAAAAAAATGTTAAACACTAAAGCTTATATAAACAAACGAAGTGTAATACGAAAATTGAAGAGAAATGCAGTTATCCTATTAATATTTTGTACAAATACAATGTTTCTTATGCCTTTAAGTTTAAAAGCATGAAGGAAAATATAGGAAAGTATATGATTATAGATTATATTTATTAACTTATTATTATCATATATAATATTTCATATTGATTTTGTAATTTTTTAAATATCAACCATAAAATATTACGTTACTTAATGACACGAGTTATGTATTACAAAAGATCGTTAACCTTAATTTACAATTACAATTTTATGTTTTTGCACATTTACCTTCATTTATTATTATTTTATAAGAACGGAAAAAGTCTGTAAATATATAATATTTATGAAAAGACTGTCATGTACTTAAGGTATAATAATAATAATAATAATAATAATAATAATAATAATAATAATAATAATAATAATAATAATAATAATAATTTATTATCTTAAACACTTGATTCGAGAAAGTTTGATTAAATTTTGAAAAACAGATTAATTATATTTTTATCTTAATAAAATCTTTATTAGTTATTTTGTATTAAATTATATTAATTGATGAAAGTGAATGCATAAATACATCGTAAATATTATATGAAATAATGAATCATTTCAAAAATATCACTGACGTTAATATATTTTCATAACATTCCTAATACTCTATGACTTATTATATTGCAAATTTCTAATTTAAAAATTAATAGTTGATATTACATAATAATTTCAAAGCAAATACGGACTTGGCTATTAATTCAATTTGTGAATTAACAAGAATTTCTTTACTAATTAAAATTGTTCGACCAATATTTTATGCAATCGCATTAGTGTCGTGTAATTAATTTCTTAATTAGAATAAGTAGCATTCTTGAATGTGTATAGTCTTGGTGGGAAGAGAAGCTTTATAAGCTATTAGTGTCTTACATGCCCTCATTGTAACGAGTTGTTAATTAAAAAAATAAAAATTTCCCCGACAGCTCTTAATAAATAGAGGTATAATTCGATTGGACGAACGAATCCTTTCATAAACAGTAAAATTCGCAAATACACAGACTAATTAAACAGATGACATGCGTAAGATTCAATCAGTTAATGTTAACCTTCGACCCACGAGATTTCACTGGAGCTCTCATTACCAATTCAAACTCCACTCATTTATTATACCAAATTATGCGACAATTACGACCGCTTCAATTTGTTTTCCTTCGTGTTCGATGTGATAATATGCATATTACTTGGGGATTTGCGCATTGATTAACTAGGAGCGATGTCTCCATCATTTGAACATGGCATCGCACGAACGAACCTGCCCCGATATTAAAATACACATATGCATGCGCGAGCGAGTGATGAAGAAACGGCGGTCACTGGCGATTGTTGATGCTAAAACTTTTTAAATAGAAGCATGTTATTATACATCCCGTATAATCGCTTTATATTCACAGCTACGATAAAGAAAATAGTTTGTGATTTCATTAAAATTGCATGATAATTCTATTAATATTTTATTTATATAGTAAATACCATGACTGACTTAAGTTTGTTTGTTATTTTATAAAGAGTTGTATTGAACATTATTTATGTATTAAATACGGTATTGCGAGTGTGATATCATATCCTAACAATAATAATATATGTTATTACGAATTACGATGCTATTATGTCTGTACTCGTAATATAGGATTTAACTGTAAAAATGAAATTATTCCTTATTTTTATCGCAGTCTCTTATTATCTAATGTCATTTGCATTAGTAAAAAATAAAACAAAACAAAACAAAACAAAAAAAAAAAAAAGAAAACCTACTAAAGTAAGCTTATATATTATATGCATTGAATATTTATAATTATTGTTTCATCTCAATCGCTAAAGTATATAAAAATCCAAGTAAATGATGTAAAATATTTTATCTGCTTGATCATATCACTCTTTTGCTTTATTATAATCAATTTTTCTATCAAAACAAGAATAATAGCGATAAACCAAAGAATTAGTGACGTATTTTGATTTAAATTTAAATTTGATAATAAAAATAATATAAGATTAAAATGTGATATTATTATCAAACTGAGGGTATTGATTAGAGATAATATGTTGATGTAAATAGTTGATTATAAATAATTCCTAAATGATAGACAAAAGTCTTATATCCGTACGATGATAAATAGAAATGAGAAATACATTGTACAGAATACTTCCTTAATCACCAATCTAATAAATTTTATTATTCCTTTATCTTTTTCTTTTAAATAGTAAGAGACTCGACAACCTAAGACCATTACTATATTTGTAGTTCTCCGAAAAAAAAAAAATTTTTAATTTATATTATTTAGAAATTGTGTTGTGTATTGGTTACCATTAGTTAACCTTATACGTCGCAATCAAAGGAATATTATTTGTGTTTTGGTTATATATAATGTGAAATTTTCACGTCATATGAATGCTCATCAACCGCTTTTGAAATAAATATCATAAAAATACATATTTCTCAATATAATGCTTTATATTATTTAAAAATACATTATACTATTGTCATAAATGTTCAATTTATAAATTATCAGAAAAGAATAATTAGGAGATAAAAAAATAGGCAATATTAACTTATTATTATAAATCGATTATAGAATACAAAGGAAAATGTATATTTACTGCCAAGCGAAATATACACTAAGTGTAAATTAATTAGATTTAAATTAATGCGATATAAAGCAACTGTATTTTAAACTATCGATTAGTTTTATTGTCGGGATGAGGAAAAAAAAAAAGAAAAAAAAAAGAAAAAAAAATTTAACATTAGTATAATTATCTTAGTAGTAATAGCGTTTTTCTGTTCTACAGTAAGTTAGTTGTCTCTCGAAAGTTGGCTTATTGGATACGTCGGTAAGGCTGTGGTAGGGCGACCCTACCTTCAACATCGAGAGAGGATTACCGAAGACTTATTTCCTAATGGTACGCTATACTCGTTATTTGAGGGAAAGCGCAATATACTAGGAAGGAAGAGTACTTTGTGGTGATTCTTACGAGTATATAAATTTTCTGTCCACCTTAAAGGTTTGGTTCCCATCTGAAAGATGAATTTCTCTTTAGGAATCTATAATTAACATTTGACAGTTTATTAATGAATTAAGTTATAAATATGTTTAAATAGGATACGGATTTCAATGCATCTTTGGAGCTTTAATAATAATATTTATACACATGATGATATAGGCATTTATATCTATATTAGTCTTCAATTTGATAATTAAAGTCAATAGAGTAAATAACATTATTGTTATTAAACTGTATTGCAATAAAAATTCATAATTATATTGTCATTTAGCATATTTTCTTAGCGAATTCATAATAATAATACATTATCCTCCATATCAATTTCAATGATAGAAAATATTTTTAAAAGTCGGATCTTAAGTCACATTACAATGGATTGATTGACTATTTGAAATTGATAGTATATCGCATATAGCATTTTGTCCGAACTCTTATCCAAACAGGCAGTCTTTTTTTCAATCAACTCAACCGGATGGGATTGGTCGCATTATTGTCAGTTAGTTAAAATTAGAGCACATCGACTGTCCGAAATTTCCCCATAGAACTTCATTTGCTGGTTGAATAAACTAAATAATAAAAAAAAAAAAAAAAAAAAAAAAAAAAAAAAAATTAAAAAAAAAAAAAAAAAAAAAAAAAACTAATAAAAAATTAAAAAAAAAAAAAAAGAAAAGTAAAATAAAAAAAAATATAATAAATTAACTTATTGATATACCATAGATTATGTTCGCATTGAATAAATTTATTTATCGTGGTGTACATAATGTTTTTAAATCGAGTTTCTTTTGATATGTTGCATTTAAGCAAATTTTTCTTTACGTCACTTAACGATCTTTTTAACTCTGAAAATCAGACTTTACTATATATTTACGAGTTAAGCAACTATTTTATGGATAAATCGTAATTGACGTTATTGAAATATTTAAATATGATATATATATATATATATATATATATATATGTTTTTAATTTCAATTTATAATTTAGAAATATATTATCAGCAATCTATATATTCATTCGTTTTATCGTCTAATTCAACTTTTCTTCCTATCACAACTGTTAACGTATGTTAATTAAAAATAATTGGATATAACGAATCTTTTTCAAATTTCATTTAAATATGTTTTTAATGTTGGTATAATTATTCTTATTACAGGATAGGGAAGCAGGCAGTTGGACGAAACTATGACGAGATATTGGTTAAACGTTGCCTTAATCAGGATTATTTTACCTGTGATCCTAATAGCATGTGAGTTTCAACATTATAGAATAATTATATTAATAAAACAATGCTGAATAACTATTTAGGCTAAAGTTTATCTTATGTCAAAATAAAGCTTATTTGCTAAATAAAAGGTTTCATTTAACTTGAGCACTATAAATAATTTATATTTGTCGATATTTAAACAAAAAAAACAAAAACAAAAACAAAAAAAAAACAAAAAAAAATTCGTGTAATGACATTTTTTTTTTTTTTTTTTTTTTTTGCATTATATGTAAGTCAAAATGTTTTATGGGTTATCTTTATTTAATAAAGTAGTTAGCTCACGTTTAATTGATTTATATTTTTAGTTTTAAAAAGTTTATCTTACATACTAACGCGATTGTATTTAAAAAAAATTGATTGACTTTTAAAGTTATAGATGGTAAAATGAGATTTTTTTTTTCTTTGTTTTTTTTTTTTTTTCGAAAACTATATTATTATTATATGTTGCGTCGAGAAAATTAATCGACAAGTAATAACGGTTGAGCTATCGATTAATCGCAACTATAACTATGGGAATTGAAATTGTAGGATAAATTTCATACAAAATTATATAAATTTACAAAATTTACAATGATTTCTCTCTAATTCTTTATATTAAAGTAAATTTATATTTTATTATTATATAAGCTGAATTGTTATTCATTATAGTGAAAGATTAATGAAATTGGGTCATTATTTTATTATGAAAGCCTTATTGAAATCCTTAATGTCAGTTGTAGGCACAAACCTGGCATTGCTCGTGCACTCAACAACTCACATTATTAATAATAAAATGATATAAATTTTAATTACGAGCCCAATGCATTTATTGAAAAATATGGCAGTTGATTTAATAAAGGAAATTGTTGATTAGAGATTCTTGATATATATAACTTAGTATATTGTTACTCTCGACAAATAATCTAAAATGACAGCCGGAAAATACAGATTTTCTAAATTTAGACTTAGGGTAAGCTGCGGACAAAAATTCGTGTCGCCGTCTCCGATGATATTACTCGCGACATTCAAAGATTTCCAAATTTTCAACTACAATCGCTCGATATTTATTTGTATGAAATGCCAATTATTAAAATTGTTTAAACTATTATTTATCTAAAGTAAATTCTAATTTGAAGGACACTTCCTTATTATTATGAAAGGCGGGATGTTTAGTATTAAAAGCCTACGTATAAAATTAAAGTTTAATTGTCGTTAAAGGATGATTTGTAGTTTGTAGATCGTATGAGAAAAAAGTAAAAAGTTTAAAATAATCATTCTCAAGCACTCCTTAACGATATATTAAGTTTGTTTTACATCGTTCTCGTAAACTTTGAAAATAACTAACAACTATATTTGAAGAAGATTAAAGCAATTTAAATAACTTGAGCTTACCGAAATAAGAATTTTTTTAAATAGAATTTCAGTATAAAAAAGTCTCTATAAGTATCCCTCGAGACCTAATACAGCGTGTATAATGCGTTATTCTCCTGCAGACTTGATAGTCATTTTCGTTTGTACAGGGGGAACGCAAACGCTTTGTTTTATTGTATCGGGGAGAAAGCATGCGTGTAATATCATCATTCGCGCTTTCTTCACTTTATGCTTTAAAAGCGTCGCATGAAAAACCTTCCCACTCTTTTATATCTTTTTCTAACTCGATAGTAAAAGCAGGTTACAATCGTTTGTATCGAAGGATTTATAACACCTCGGTCATAAACGGTATTTTCTACTAGTACACTCGTTCTCATACTATTACTATTACTATACTGTGCGATATATTATTTTTCATTTTGTGCATTTGGAAATTTGGTAGTGCACTGCGTGCATACTTATTCATGCTTCTTTACGAACCTTAACAGCGTTTTACAATGTGCTTCTTTTTTTTCTTTTTCTTTTTTTTTTAATATGTAATATATTAGATTTTTTTATATTACGAACAACTGTCATCATTATGTTAATAGTGATATTTTACCCTTTTTTTTTTTCTTTTTTTTTGTTTTTGTTTTTTTTTTGTTTTTTTTTTTTTGTTTGTTTTTGTTTTTTATTTTTGTTTTTGTTTTTGTTTTTGTTTTTTATTCTTCTTTTGTTTATTCGTTAAAGATACATATTAACTTATATTTGGCATTTAACTAAAAGAAGATAACTGTCTTAATACTGCAGGATAGTGGATTAAATTAGATTAAAAATATGAAGAAAAAGAATTGAGTACATTTTGCTCAAAAAATGATTTCCTTGAATTTATTCTAGAGCTAATTAAGAAGACCATTTTTCACTCTCTTATTAATAAATTGTTAATAATTTTCCAGATGAAAATTAATGGCTTGGATATGAGCATTATTCCGAACACGAAGAATTGTCGAATGATATTTTTAATATTTATTTAATTTGATGATATTTTAGACATTTAAGATAGCGCATATTATGATTAAATGTCGTTCTTCTATTAACGCGACAACTACTAATATTTTGATTAATTACTTTTATTTATTTTTATTTATTTTTTATTTATTCTCGCAGCTTTCATATTTCTTTTCGTTTATTTATTTTCATTTAGACCTTTACAATTATAGTTCTATGGTATTTTAATAGACGTCTCTAATAGAATATTGTACTGTGTAAATGTATGTTTTGTCAGCAATGTTGCAAATTATAGACTAATTGCGATGTAAATAATTACTTCCTGCGTATTAACAACAACATATTGTATGCATAGAAATAATAAGATTACGAATGCAAATTGTATATTCAAAGATTTTTCAGCATTTGTCAAACCAACTGGTTAAAGGGAAAAAGAAAAATTATCTGTTTGATTACTTTGAATTGCATTCAAACGTATACGTCGATCTTATCGAACCCCTATCGATTAACCGACTCTTTTTATTTTAGGTGCATTATGGCGACCAGTAGGCCTGTCGCTGGTATACCTGGCACTTGCGTTCGTTTCACCATTTGTGCCGGTGCCGACATACAACTCCATGCACGGTCACACCGGACTTTTTCTAAAGATCTGCATAGGCCTCAGTTTCATCGTTTCCGTCACTCAGTTAACGTTCCACGTAGTCCTCTTGGCTCTCCCTCCTTATGGGCATTTTTTAAAAAATTGTAATTAATATTACGCAAAATATTTCACACTCGCTCCAAAGCCATTCATTATAACATTGTCTTTCATTATTAACATTTGTGCATCTTATGGAATTAATAGCCACGTTTTAGTAACGCACTGTTACTTGGTTCACAGGCGATTTCGTCGAAAAACTTGTGAGGCACATTGGCCTCGTGAGATTAGATGATGCGTCGCTATGGGTAGTATTCTTTTGGCTTACACCAGAGATCATTGTATTGCCATCAAGTGTATTTATTTATTATTTATGCCGTCGATTTGTCAACTCTCCACTCGCAGACGATGATGATAATGCTTCGCTACAACGCTTTCTAAAGAAATCCAAAGAGCGATCATCCAAGGTTTTCATTATTATTTAAATAATGAATTTTTAATATATACTTTTACAATAATTAATTTAATATAATAAATCAGACATTTTTATCATTAATTTTGAAGTTTTTTTTTTTTTTTTTTTTTTTTTTTTTTTTATTTTTTTTTTAAATTTTTTTTTTTTTTTTTTTTTTTTTTTTGTAGAATATGTAATCTTATAGTAACGAAAATTGAAAGAAAATTTTAAATTCTATGCAATTTATAATTTAGCCCATTTGACATTTAAAAATCTTGAATTACAATTCTTTTAGTATTTCTTAAATTCTTTTTAATTTAGTTTAATTCGATGATGAAAAAATACAACTTTGCTTTCACCGATTTTCATAAAACAAGTAGACGCCTGAAATATATTAATACCTTACTATACAACGCTTTTATAGATATTTTAATTAGTAAACAATCTTTTGATTAAAGTAGCTCCTTTCGATTGCAATTGATTGATATCGATGAAAGTGAAATTAAGAAAATTGTCATTGTAGATGCTATCACCATATTACTTATCATTCTCTTTATTCAAAATTAATCGCGTCTCTGAATTTTTTTATAATATTCATCTAGGACCTAATATCATCCAACAGAATAAAAAATGATGATTTTACGATTCAAGATTTTGAAAATGTATACTACAAATTGAACAATGCTGTTTGTGCATGTAATACTTTAAAAAATATTTTGCATTGCTTTTGAATATTCAATAAACCTACAGCAACTTATTTAATTATTAAGATTTTTATTTTACAATATTGTCATGCTACATACACAATAATAAATGACCGATCAATAATTGTGCAGATAATAAATTTTCTGGGTGGTATCGGCACCTACATCGTCTTAGTGGCCCTTTGCTGTACAGCCTCTTTGAAGCCCTCGATCGAGGGTGCTTTGTATTTCGTCGTGTTCATCGGCTCGGCAACCTGGTGGGCCTTTCACCGGGAGCTGCGTCATGGTTTCGCCGTCATCTGTCGGCTCCTAATGGCCATCGTCGCCGTGCACATCGTTGTGCTACTGTCCTATCAGAACCAATGGCCCCAGGAGTACTTGCCAATCAATAGTACTTGGGTCAGGTATTTTGGCTTGGGAGCCATTTACGAGACTAGCTGCATCGACCCAAGAAATATAAAATACATCAATAATAGCGACTGGTCCATCTACGCCGACTCCATTAGGCTATTTTTGCTTTACTTCGTATTAGCATTGCAGTCAATATTTCTGTTCAAGAAGCCGGTATGTTGTAAATTTAAGCTCACCTCAAACACTATGAACACTTTAATTAAGTTTTGTGCCTGCAAATATAGAATTGATATGTTGTTGGAATATGCTTTCAAGTATTTATTGTAAATGAAAGGAAGTGGCTTAGTCTTGGGTGACTTTTCAATAATTAAGATTTTCTCAACATCATGCTTTTAAAGAAAAAAAAAATGATTAAATTATTCACGGAATTTTTATGTTAATTTCGCTTTGATAATTAAAAATTAATATTTTGATATATCGACTGAAAATTTGTCAAATAAATTATGTTACTTGATAAGAAATATTCTGATTCATTGTGTAGGATATTTTATTACGATTTTTTTCGATTTGTAATATGCTGATTAAGAACTATTCGTATAAACAAAAATTTTATCTAACTGTTTATACAACTGAAAATATCCTTCCTATCGTTTATAATAAGTTTGATTAATTTAATACTTGAGTCATTTTGTATAAATATTAAACTTTTCTAGTAAAAAAAGGGGATATTCATATGAAAATTGATGTTTTTTGCTCTTTATTATATTTTATAGTTACGACACTCCGATCAAATTATGTCATTGAATATACAATTGTAATAAAATATAATTTATTAATTCTCTTAACCTTGCATAATATGCATATGCATGTATAATATGCGTATCTATTTAAAGTAAATATTAACAAAATTTTAAAAGATATTATATAAGAGCTGAAAACATTTATATTTATATTGTGTACAAATATATGTCAATTACAATTTACAAACTCTTTTCCAAAGAATTTTCCAACTAACAAAATAAAAAATTACATTTCCTTTTTTAATTTTTATTTTAAATCTAATAATCATAGAATTATCAGTAAGTAACAAAATAAAATTCTTGAAACTGTAACTCGTAACTGTAAAGTGATGTTATTGAACTAAAAAAGTATGACTGACTTTTTAGATTTTCAACAGCTGCTCATTAAAAAAATTATAACAAAAGTTAACAAACAACAATTTAGAAATGAATTTGAATACAAGAGTATGTATATGTTTGTTTTAAAAGATTTCAAATAATCGATATTTTATGATACGCATACATATATATATATATATATATCGTGAATATGTATGTGGAATAATGTTGATATAAGTAAAATATATGAAAACTATGGTATACTGTAAATTAGCTATTCACACTCTGCATTAACGATCATAATAAGAAATTTATATATAACTTGCTGTAAGTTATTACATAATACATTAGTTTGCATTGAAAGACGAATATTGTTAAGTGAAATATAAAACTATATTTTATCCATAAATTATTGATCAATAGGCTCTCGAAAAACTACATAGAATTATTTATAATAAACTTCAAAGTATAATTACAAACACTTTTTATCGAACATAAATATGTATTTTTAATGAAATTTTTTTCATTTTATTACGATGGCATTGATTTTCTAAGTAATAAATTATTCAAATTATATGAAATTTATATTACAGAGATTATTGGTATAGCTTTTACCAATCTCAGATTAAACTGAAAGAAAAGAAGTTTTATTTGAAGATTTTCAAAGCTTTTATATTCATATACTTTACTTTTATCGCTCTCGGTATAAAGTACAACAATTAACCAATGCGCTAGTTAATAACAATAAGTGCATTAATAAGTGGAATGAATTTTATTTGCAACACTTTAAAAATAATTCACATTTACCTTCTCTTGGCAAGCTATTATTATATCCACTAATGCTAGTCACGATCGCAGCTATTTTATTTATATAAGCTGCGAAGAAATGGAAAAACTCCATCTTATTTTCACTTCTTGAAATGCTTACTCTTGTTTCAGTTCCTTTTCTAAAATTTCATTACGTACCATAGTTTCCGATTAACCCACAAAGATCCTCAACTTTAAACTATTATTACGCAATGAAATACCATGGTCAAACAATATCCATGAATTACTTTAAATACCACGAAACGTAAGATTCTCATGAATTGATTAGAGAATAAACCTTAAAATCAATAGCGCCTGGTCGCATTCATTTTAGTAAAAACAAAACAAAACAAAAAACAAAAAAAAAACAAAAAAAAAACAAGAAAAAAACATTACAAGGAAAGGTGAAATTACGAAATAAAGTGCGCTTTTACTAACGAGACTTTGCAGGCTAAGCAAAGAACGCGCCTGAGTGGCAAATTGGAAACGCTGGACACGCCATTGTCGCGACATGTATCCATTCGTAAACGAACACCGTCACAACGATGGCAATCTGCACGGCGTAAGGCTCGAGTAAGGATTAGCACATCCTGCATGAGCCATATTTTTTCAAATTCTATTGTATTTTCAATATCTCTCCACCTTAATTGTGATTATTACTACATCATGCGCAATGAATACTGAATAGTTTTGTACATACAATCAATTTTTCTGTTATGCCTGTAAATAATCTGCTAAATAATGATGCTTCTTGATATTTTTTTTTTTAGAAAATGACGTCTAATTTTTATGAAAAAAAAAGCACCATTAATACGAAGCATAAATGCTTATATACATTGTCTTAAAAATTTTCGAGCAAATTAAACGAAACATAATCACCCTCTCTTACTTAAGTATTATCTCTTATTTTGATTTTGTGTATATGCACAAATAAACCTGTCGATATTGTATATATAAACATATTTATACGTAAATACATAGATTCACTTAGCGCACACATTCACACACACACACACACACACACACACATATATATATATATATATATGTGCATAGACCGGCGCATCAAAACTTTTTAATTCGGCTACCGCTATGTACTAGTTTGGCATATTTTAGAAGCTGACCGTTGAGTCCGAGCCAGAGAGACCTAATGAGAGAACACCTGTACGTATTAGAAGAACTGCTTTTTTACTTTTAACATGAATTCAAAATAAACGTGACTCAGATTTTTTAATTCTGTTTATTTCAAGAGGAATTTAAGCGGTTTTACCACTGTAACGTCAAAAATACGAGATATACTTACAATTGCATTTAATTTGGATATGAGTATATAATTAATATTCATTAATTATATTAAAATGTTAGGAAAATTAAAAAAAAAAAAAAATAAATAAAAAATGGATATTGATTAAAATTTTTCTTACTGGTAAATCTTTTCTTTCTTTATTAATTTTTTGTAAACATTAATTTTACGGTAAGAATGATTTCGTGAAAAGTGGAAATTTATATAGAGAAGAGATTTTTTTCTAAGCAACAGACAATATTAAATAAAGATAATATTTGCATAATATTTGCATAAAATTTGCAGTAAAATGAAAAATTAAAATAAAATTTAAAAAATCTGATTTGAAATATACATATACTATAATTTGATAATGTTTAATTGTTTAAATCTATTATACTACACGATGATTATAGTGATAGATTTATATCTTATTCAGGATTCATTTTTCTTTTTAAATTTCCTAGCGAAGTTGTGCAACTTTACTTTGTGTTGCCATTTGCAACTTTGGTTACGGTTTTTCGCTGAAACAATAATCCCGTCATTGATATCTTTTTTAATAGATTCAATTACTCTAGTTTTTATTGTATTATGATTTTCTATATTGCTATATTAACGCAATAATCAAAATCATTTGCTAATAGTATTATAAATTAATTAGTATATTAACAGCTTGGAATCCTTTGGAAGGAAAAGTTTCACACCAGGTAAGCCAATCCTTAATAACTGGATTCTAAACAACAATCTCATTACTGTTATGTGTAAAATCGATTTTTTTTGTTTTGTTTTTTAGTATAAACCAGTAAAGATTCGAGTCATATATTTTATAATTAAATATGAAAAGAATAATAAAAATTTCCAAACCGTTACTACATATTTTATAAATTCCACTCATTTAATCGACAAACTTTTTTTGCTATTTACGTATATTGTATGTGTAGCATAACATCTATACCATTCTATCCAGCAACAATAAAATGAAATTTACCATTTACTTATACAGTATATTTATATAATTCAAAAATTTCGTTAACAAGATAGGCAGATTTTTAAAAACAACATAATCCTCCTCAGAGTGATTCAATGATCATTTCATGGAATCGCATTTTTTTTTTTTACAGAAATGTTATATTTTAACTAGCCTATGTCTATTAACAATTATATGTAATTAAATTATTTATAACAATAATTATTAAAAGATCTATACGAAAAACAGCCAATATTTGCGTGCTGAAATGTCGAAAAGAAGTGAACGAATTGAGATTGACACGGTTGTTCGACTTTCTGAACTTTATGAAAACTTTCTTTCCTTTTTTAACGTAGATTTTTTTTTTTTTTTTTTTTTTTTTTTTTTTTTTTGTAAAATATTATAATATCATTGAAGCGTACAAAACACTTCGAATTTTTGAAAATCTTACAGTGGTTTAAGCTCTTAAATAAGGTTTAGAGTAATTAGAGGAATACTTATAAAAAAAACTTCTATTTATTAATTAAAATGTAATTTTTGCATTACACAACATATTTTGGATTCATATTTATTACCATTTTATAATTTTTTTTTTGTCTTTTGGTATTTTATTTATTATTTCAAGAATACTTTTAATGTTTCATCCGCGCAGCATTTTGGTGATGGTAATGTTCATGTATATCTTATACAATAAAGTGTTTGCTCCTATTCAAAACGTACCGTTTGAATTTATGTTTTTGCTTGAAAGTAATCGATTATCTTATGTTCCAGGTTTCAAAAGTTAAGCTTAAGCTTTTCCTTGGTTTTTATCTTTTTATCGCTTTCATTTTCTAATGGTCAATTATTTTCATTTTGTATATAATATTTTTCGCATCAATTTAATTTGTTTTTTTTTTGTCTTATATAACCATTGGAGTCAACAAAATTCTTTTTAAATTATCCAATTATTGTACAGTTGATGAGATTTGGATCGGGTCGCACAGGATTACTCCAAGATTCTACTGGAAGTGTTATTGTGCAGGATGGACAACAGGACGATAGCATTCAACTGCAATCGCTGAGCGAAGGTCGGCATTAAAAATAGATAAAAAAAAACTTTGCTTAATGAATGCAAATATTTGTAAGAATATAATGAATTTTGCTGTATAGGTGCATCGGAGGAGAAACCAGGTATTCTTGAACACGTCATCATGGCAGTTTTTTCTATTTTCCAGCTCATTGTAAATTCATCGTACTTGGCTACAAATATCATCATGATGGTAAATAGAATATATATATAAGATAATCAATATTATAATGATTCTATTAAAGCGTCTATGAGTATATTTAACTTCATAATTGATATAAAAAAAAAAAAAAACGTTAAAAGAGTAAAGCATCGCGAGCGCGCGCGGATACAAATATATATATATATGACAATTCGTTACATATTAAATTAATGTTAAATAATAATCATTTTATTAATGGTTTCGTAGACTTGGAGTATCATGTACCATAGTTGGACAACTTTTGCCTTATTATTGTGGGCATTAGTCCTATGGATGGTGCCATATAAAAGAGCCTCAATGATGAAATGTTCGCCGTTTATTGCTTTTTATTCAACGCTTTTACTTCTGATTCAATATGTTTATAGTATGGATTTAACTGAAGAAGAATTGCCTACAATTATACATGGAATAAAAATGTCAGATATTGGATTTAAGAAAACATCTGAATTGAGCTGCTGGCATCTCATTGTGAAGGTTTACAATACTTTGTTTTTATTATATTTTCAACAATAATTGCACTTTAAGAATAATGTTTATAGAAATATCGTTAGTTTAAGCCTATTAAAAAAAATAATAACTATATAAAAAATTACACTCTATTAAGATCTATTTGATATTTTTCAGTTATAAGTTTTCATTGAAATATCATTAAGAATAATATCTTATTTAGTAAAGTAAATAATTTTAATTATATTTAGATATTATAACATTTGATTATTGATATTAAAAGAAAAGAAATTTTTTTTTTTCATTTTTGTTTTTTTTTTTTTTTTTACTTGAAATAAATATAAATAACTGTTTTAATATTTTAAGCGTGAAGCGTTAATTATAAATTATAAAAGAAGTAATGATAAAATTACAGAGCGTATTCATGATAATGTTTTGGATCACGATGAGGCAATACATGGCCGAGAAGATGAGGAAAAGGAGATCATCGACGCTACGTGACATGGTCGCGCCTTTACATGTGTCGGTATCTACGGCAACAACTGCAATGAATAATCAATCCGAGCCAGAAATAAAAAGCGAATTTATGAAGAACGTGGGAGTTGTTATAAAAAAATTTTTAACAAAATTTTGGATTGCTGTAGTAGCCGTAATGCTATTCACTAGCGGGATTACCGGCGAACGTATGACAGTTTTCCGCATTGTCTACATGTCATTATTTTTGTTATTTATCATTACATTTCAGGTAAATATTCTCATTAGAAAACTCGTTTATATATATAACAACACTTTCCACCTTTTCATTTATTCTGAACTTCATTAAATAGAGTTTAATTATGAAAACTGTAAATACATATTTTCATATCAATTGAAAAAACCTTACATTGTTTTAAAATTTCATGAAGATCGTATATTTTAATGTAATATTAAGATTAGTGCCCGAATTATTTATTTAGATATCTTGGGTCGTATGGAGAAAAATGATGTACGGATTTTGGATTGCTGTCATTGGATACTCAGTTATAATGCTAATTCTAGTTTATACATATCAGTTCCCAGATTTTCCTGAATATTGGGAAAAATATCTCTATATTTCGAAAAATTTGTAAGTAGATATATTATTTTATAATATACGTAACTATAATTATATTTTATAAAATTTCTATTATACATTAGTCAATGTTCTTATATGTTATCTGCACAGATTTCTTAAGTAAAATATTGATATCGTGTAATTTTATTATTATTAGCATTAGAAACAAAAACTGTTTTATTATTATTCTTTTGAGATTTTTATTTATTTACTAATATTGTGATTTTATTGAAATTATTTATGAATAATAATAGATGAGTCAATTAAATATCCATTTCTTATCATTTTAATAAAATGATTATTCGCACTTTACGCTGCTCGTTATCCATGTTAATTGTTCACGTAAATCTTTTATAATATAATTATAAACAATTAAAATTAAAATGAGAACTATTTGTAACATATTAATATACGTATATATATATATATATATATATAAATATTATAATAAGAATTTTAAATAAATATTAAAATATATTTTATAATTAAGATGTTATATACATTTTAAATATTTGTAATACATATTAATTTTAAGGCAAGAAGACATTGGATTAATTACGTATGATACTAAAGATTTATTTGTTCGACTTCTCACTCCGACATTTTTTGTAATAATTACCGTTTTACAAATTCATTATTTTCATCATGATTTTCTAGAAGTTACAAATATGAAAAGAGTGTAAGTATCATAATAATTATTATTATTAATCATTATTAATAAAAATTTCAATTTAGATGCAATAAATAATAAATAATTAATAATAAATAATTAATAATATTTACTTTACAATATAAGCAATTATATAGAGCTAAAATATAATTTTACAAATTATTTATTAATGAAAATGATAGTGACACTTTAGTATTTATTTAATTGTTTATTTAATAATATTATTATCTTAGTGTTGGAATGTCGGTCAGAGATGATTTAAACAAATCAGGCAGTACGATTCCCACTGTATTTTCCAACGAAGTTTTGACAGCAGCGCAGAATGTCAGTGAAATACATGTATATACATTAAAAGAACTGAAGCGTTAGTAAAAGATTTTGGTGTATTTGAATTTTTGTTATATCATCAGTAAATTATGTTAATTAATTTTATACTTTCATAGAGATGTCAAAGATAGAAAGAGTTGCACTTATAAAGAAAATATCGAAATATCTTTATAAATTTTACAATTGCCTTTGGCTGTTTTTAGAAATACATATGCCGAAAATTATTTTTGTTTCTTTCATTCTACTATGTATACATGATGTAAGATTTGAATATTCAACAAGTAACTATTAATCGACAGCTTCTTCATTATAATCATTTAAATTTCTTTTCTTCTGTTTTTTAGGTATGCGCTATTAACTTTATTTTCATAATTTCTGTAGTTATTTCAATTAACTTAAGACGCAACATACAGATTTTGATTATAAATATAATGGCTGCAACTGTAGCTGTTCTGATGGTAATAAAGATGCTTTATCAAATTGACTATATAAAGCATGAAGATTGGGATCGCAATTGTACAGTAAGTTCATTTATTTGATGGAAATTGTACGGTATAATTTACGTAGGACATTTTGTAAAATGATTTCCGATGAAAATAATGTATGGAAAATGTGGCGTGAACTGAGATTTTTTTTTTTTTTTTTTTTGTTTGAAATTAATGAATTAATATATTAATTTTTAATGTAATTAAATTATTTTTGAACTGTATAATCTATATTATTATTATTATTATTATTATTATCAGTATCGATATACAACTTCTTTGTCAATGTCTTATTTTATTTGCATTTTATTGAATATTTAAGAAGAGATATTTTCACTTAAAATACTTGAACGTAAAATTCAATATCAAACTGAATAAAATTTTTATAAAGTCTATTTAACTTTACATTGTTATGTATTCTGTGAGTATGATTAAACATACATAAATTATTGGAAATAAATATTGCAATTGATTATTTGTAAATATGTTCAAAATTTTACAGGAACGTATTAAAGGAAACTCCACGCAGAATGAAACGAATATAATAAAAACTTACAACATGGCAGAGTGGATAGGCATGCAAAAAGTTGACGATAGTATAAAGTTACCAAAACTTCTTGATGGTTACATAGGCATAATAACCGTAACAACTTTGCGTGCGATAATCTCCATACGTCAATGGTTTTATCGTCATAAAATGCACCAACCGCTCGAAACTCCTCTGATTATGTTCCCAAAAATAAAACGAGCAGATGCAGATGAGGGCCTTTTACCATGTTTAAAATTTTTTTGCAATTACGGCTTTTACAAATTTGGTCTCGAATGTTGTTTGATGGGTATCGTCGCGTTCATTGGAACTAGATTGGATTTCTATTCTGTTTTGTATAGTATCTGGTTAATGATATTATTTTCAATGAATAGAAAAACTGTTTCAAAGGTCTGGCCATTCTTCAAGATGTTCGCCATCGTATTATTGCCATTACAATACGCATTGGTTGTTGCACCGCCTACGTGGCTCTGTATTGGTATGAAAATATTACTTGCTGAACGCTACTTTTATCATAAATCTTATAAAGGCATAGTTTATAATATGGACAAGACGAGAATTTATTTTATATTCTTCATTGATTTTTATCCATCACATTAAACATTATTTACCTTTACATTATTATTATGCGTTTTTTTTTTTTTTGATTTATCGCATTCTGACATGATAATATAATATATGAAGTAGAATGTATTTAAAAACAAAAACACTGACAAACAGTAAAAGAAAAAATTTTCTTATAATATATTAGAAATTTGTCACAAATCTACAACAAATATTACAAATCTGCTTCTTTTTTTTTTATTCTAAATCAGGTGTTTAAACTAAGAAACTTTGTGAACCAAAATAATTTATGTTCATATTTGTTTGAAATTTCGAATAATTACGAATTAAATATTAAATCGTTTAATAAAATATGTAAAATTTTATAAAATCTATCGTTCAAAGTTATGTATCTTTTATAAATTAAAATTAAGGCAATAATAGTCTTTCTATAAATCAATATGAAATATCTTAATAATAATAATAACATATGACTAAAATCATAGAAGTTTATGCTCGTAGAGTTAAACATAAAAAAAAATTTGTGACGCTATATCTGTATCATGAAAATAATATACTTCATTGTCAAATAGATTATCCTTGGAGAAATTCAGAAGTGTTAAAAGGTTTACAAGAATGGATGTATTTACCTGATCCAGATTCTCGCCCCAATCCAAAAAAACTTATGTGTAAATAATGAAATTTTTGTTTATAATTTATTTATCAATATAATACGAAACTATTAATAAGATAAATTTTCACAGGTGATTTTATATTATTGCTAATGATAGTTCGTCAAAGTGTGGTATTTCAAATAGAATGGCGTAGTATAACAAGCGAACAAGAGTTTGTCGCTGGTCATAATTACTCCGTTTATAGAGATATGGATAAACCTAACTTCATTAATCCAATTAAAGATTATGTATCGCATATACATAATTGGCTAGATGTATTTAAGAGAGGTAGTATGATGAGTTTTATGTGGATTACATTATCAATAATGTTTTTGGCTGGAACGAAGAGGACAAATCTATTTTCTTTGGGATATTTGATCGGTGCTTTTATTTTCTTATGGCAAGGCAGCGATTTTTATCTACGGCCGGTGAAAACTATTTTGAAGTGGTGGAACATATTAATAGGATACAACATTTTTGTTATATTCTGTAAAACAATATTCCAAGGAATTGGATGTGTTTTTATTCAGAACGTAAGTGATTTATTAAATTGATGCTTAAAATAAGTAACATAAGTCATGCAATTTTGCTTACAACGTAATATAAAGTACACCTAGATTAACTTTGGATTGAAAATCCGTCATTTAATAGTACTATCAATATTCAATAGTGATATGAATTATTACCGTTTCTTGGAAACAAATTTTGTCTTTCAAGCAGACAATATAATAAAATTATCACGAATAATATTTACATTTTCAAATAAAAAATATTACAAATTTAATTTAATGTTACTTTTTAATTGTGCAGCTAGAAGCTTACGCCTGCTGGTTTATTCAATTGTTAGGAATTGCATGTCTCAAGAAATTCGAAATTTCTGACGAACAATTTAAGTCCAGTTCCACATGCGAAGTGGATCGTAAGGATATTGGAATGGTTTGGGATGGACTGTGCTTCGGATTTCTGTTAATTCAAAAACGTCTGTTTCGCAGCTATTATTTCTTTCACATTGTTGATGAGACGAAAGCTATGAGTATATTAGCTTCGCGAGGCGCCGAACTTTTAGAAGAATTACATCAGAAACGCATTTTAGAACAAGAGAACCTTGAAAAAGCGGTATTTCAAAAGATCAAGCACAAAATGGATAAGATTAAAGCCAATCAACGGAAAATACATGGACCCAATTACAAAGAGCCAACAACTCACAAAATTGGTGCGTATGATCGATCCAACACACAATAATAAATATATAATAGATCGGTTTTTATATGATATAGAATTCAGACTTAAAACATTCGTCTTAAATATTAAAACTAAAATTCTGTTTAAAGAATAGTATCTTTACAATATATTTCCAAGTGAAAATCATTGAAAAATCATTAAAGAAAAAATTTTTCTTCTTTTTAATCGTAGTACGTAAACTTAGCACGCGGATTCGAAGGTCAAGTTATTCCTATAACCTTGATTAAAAATACTTCTCCAAGTTTTTTTTTTTTTTTTTTTTTTTTTTATATCATTCACTTTACCTTTACCCTCAAATAACCCATAATTATTAAATATAAATTTGGGTAATATCGAAGCTATTGTAGAACGTTCAGAAAATTATTGTAAAATAAGAATATAAGATGTTTCGATGTACAAGAATATTGAGTCCTCGAAAATACTACGAAAATATATAAAGGATGTATAACAACCATCACGACCACCGCCACTATTACACCATCATCCATTCGCGTACATAAAACATTATTCAACCCGAAGTAGGCGTGGCACCTCTAGCTCGAGCGTCCAGCACGTCGTCGTGCATATTGTCGACGCACACACCACCACAGGGCTACCAAACTCCGATCGACGAGGATGACGATGAGCCCCCGCCGCTGACTTCGCGCACAGCGTCTCTACTCCAGGCGCCGTCGCCGCACTCAGCTGTGATGACGGTGAGCCTGGAGGCTTATCTCGAGCCTACTCGCATATCATTCGGCTCGCCTCCAAGCAGCGACCTAAATCCACGCGAACTCTCGCCAGACGAGACTTTTCCCGTATTTTCGCCACCGCCCTTCGCGAGGCAGAGATATAACGAGGATATGGAAGTGGAGAAGATCGTTAATGGGGATAAAAATGAGCAAAGGAAGCGATCGAGCCATATCGATATATCCTGGAACAACGATTTCAGAACACCCAGAAGATCCGTCGTATCGATAACTTCCCAGGCCCTTTCTCATCACACATGTAAAATTCTCGTAGATGATGCCTTCGTCGTATGCCATAACAGCGATGTTCATTTTTCTTTTCCTGTACATAAGCTTCGAGAAATTGAGCAATGCTTTGTACATACGTTTATGAAACAATAAGTGCAGTAGAACAAGCAGCTTTGTATTTGATCAGTCGATGTTCTATCTTAAGACTACAACGACAAGTCCAAAAGTTTCTGTGACTCGAAGAGGAAAATTATGTTTTTTTTTTTTTTTTTTTTTCATTATACGTGCATGAATATTTATTCATCTGTTTGATGTAATCAAGACAATACAACTGATCCATGTTTTGAATTAATATTGTAAATACTCCGCATCCAATTCCGTAAATGAAGCGTATTAGTTGCAATTATATATTTAATTCTTAATTATATAACTGTAAAAGTTTATTTCTCTTCACAAGCTACTTTCAAACTTAGAAATGCAAGTATTTTAAAGAGTTTCACTTTCAATATGACTAGAAATTAATATAATATGATGTCGAATAGGAGCTACAAAAGATATTCTTTTTTTTTTTTTTTTTTTTTTTTTTAAAAATTTTTCTCTTTTATAAATTATTCTCCATTAAATTAACGAAGGATTCATACATTCAAAACGTCTGTTTAATGTACAATTACTAGAATTACTAGAGGTATAAAATAATTATATACGCCAGATTGAATTAATGAAAATTTTATAATACACAATACGAATTTAATCATTTTAAAGCCATATATTTATAATAATTTAGTATCTATGGACATATATTGTAAATATTGCAATTGACAAGAATATTCAATTTATTTATATCAAAGTAACTCATATCTGAAAATCTTTGTATTTTAAAATATATTTCTCATATATTAAAAAAAATATTATATCTAAATATTGCATAAAAGCAATTTGTACATTTTTTTTTCATTTTGTTAGTGAGATATAAATATGATTCATATAACATTATTTATATATATATATATATATATATATATATGCGCGCGTGTGTGTACGTCTCTCTGTTTCGTGCTTATTTATCAATTACATTTTATTCAACCAGCACTTGCAATAAATTTTCAAAAATTCTTTTATAATAATGTACCATAATTTTCCTGAGAATTTTCTTATTTTTATTTTTTTTTTATTTTTTCTTCACAGATTCTTTATATAGCAGACTCGATCGGCCGCTGTATAGACATCAATCACCAAAAACTCATTTGCAGGGTAATCTTATAATATCAGTTTTTTTCCAGCCCCGAAACTTTCCCCGATTCTACAGAGAACGGAAGAATTTTATTATTTATTTCAAGAATCTATTTTTGTAAATATAGAAGTTGAAAATTGTAAAATGATTAAACTTGTTAGATACACTTTCTATACACTTATGTGCACTAATTTTCTATAAAGTAGAATATATTTTTCTTATTTGCATGATTTTAATATCTATATATACACATAGATTACAATCTCTTTAGCTATCAATTTTTTTTTACAAAATTCTATTTGTCTATTGAATAGTTTTTTTTTTATTAATTTTTTTTTTTAAACAATTATTTTCCTCGTATTATTAATTTTAAATATTTTGTGTAGCTGTGAGATCGGGAGACTACTATATGTTCGATGATATGGACGATGACGACTTGACTGACTTGTTTCCTGAAAAGGATATCTCAGAAGAGGAGAGTCAATATCCTGAACGTGAACAGCAAAATCGCAAAATGACTGTATCCGAGGTAGGTTTTTTTACTCTTACAAATATATGTTACTTTATTAATATTTAGAATTTAACTTATAGCGTAATGATTTTTCTATTGCCTTAAATTTCATAAATTAATGAAATTATTATACTGTAATTGGTGTTAAGAATGTTTATTCTTATATATTGGTACGATATTATAATATTGCGATATTTATAGATCGAACAATTATTCGTCGAAAATTGTATTATACATGAGAAATAAGGCGAGTACGCGTTAGCAGTCAAAAAACTTGTTTAGTCTAAAAAATTTTGATACACAATAATTACAGCATGACTAGATTTATAATAACAAGCCCCCTTTACCGCTAAAAATTAAAAATTCTCATAGTATAATAATGTGTGATTTGATTCTGGAAACTTTAACATAATAATTGGCAAATGCATTTGGAAATAAATTTATAATCGAAATAAATTTATGGAGAAGTTTTATGATTGTTACATTACTAAAATATTACACGAATAAAATCATTTGTTTTGGTTTTGATGATGAAGGAACTAGCGAATTCTTTTAATTTACCACTTACTGTTCCAGTGTGACTGTAGTTTACTGCTTGTCATAAAGTTTTGGCACATTCTAGTTAAGATTGATAAAGTTTGATTATCTCTTTAACACATCACTCGGAAAAGCAATTTAATCAACCTTACTTTATCATGATCATTAAACTTTCTTTTCTTTCTTATTACTATTATTATTATTATTATTATTATTATTATTATTATTATTATTATTATTATTATTATTATTATTATTATTATTGTTGTTGTTGTTGTTGTTATTGTTGTTGTTACTATTGTTATTTTTTCTTAATATTTTTTTTTTATTCAATAAAATCGTTTGATCTTTATATTTCTATATACATTGTCTTATCCATATCTCATAAAAATTATTCATATTCATATAATTTAATCCCGATGCAATTATGAGCTTGGACACCATAAATCGTACAGAATAAATAATGAATGAAATGTGCGCTTGAATAGAGCAACGCGCGTCGTCGGTTTTATGCGCAAAATGAAAAATGACGCGTTTGAGTGATGCAATTGCAGCTGATGAACACGCTGATAAAAACAGACATTGAAATAGCGACGCACGTCGCGTTGTTTGGAGGGACTCAAAAGGACGCCATGAAAATACGTCGTAGGAGTGTGCCGCTGACACGCAAGAAATCATCCATGTCCTATCTGAGTGCTCATTCTGATTCCGACACTGCCGCGACCACCGATGTGAGATTGTTCAGCTCCAAAGTTCCTGCATGCTACATTGTCTGCTTATCTACTTTTTTTACAATAAACAGAATATTACGTTCTGTTGCCGTTATAATTTTACTATCTTTATTTCTTACCCTTTTCTTTGGCCTTTCGCAATTATTTTGTGTAATTATTTTATACGAGGAACGTAAACTACTTATCGATCATACATCAATGCCTCACGTTGCTCACCTTTTACACTTATTACATCAAACTTGAACCATTATGGCTATTGGCGTTGTATAAATGTTATAATCAAGACGGCTATGCATGAAATATTAACATGATTTGCTTCAAAGAAAGTGAAAATTTTTTGGATCTTATGTTCTAATTTTATTCTATAACTACTATTATAATTATTCAACGTTTAGTGTAATATACTTTATGTTAACTAACAATGTATAATAAGAGATTGTAAATAAAACGTATTTTTTTTTTCGATTTTTAGCATCCTCGGCTATATAGAAAAATATTTTTTTTTTTTAACGAAAAAATTGAATGAATAATTAAAACGTCTTTAAGAATATTATATGAATTTACGTTGTCGAAAATCACAAAACTCAGTTATAAAATTCTAATATTATATAGTTTTTAATTTTATATATATTTAATTATTATATTTTAAAAGTATATTATAATAAATTATTTGAAAATTCGAATACTATACTCTTTTCCTTGATAATTGATTCAACGTAATAAATTATTCTTCGTCGATTAATTTATTTTAAGTAATTAATCATTGTGAGTCATATAATCATGATAAATTCAAATTTATCTTTCATTTGACAAACCAATTGTTTTATTAGCTTAGCAAATTTTATATCCGATGATTTAAATATTGTATCTTATATCCTTATTTTGAGGTTTAAAATTTTTTGTCCAAGGTAATTAATTAATTAATTAGATACGTGTTTTTATTCAAAAATATAAAAATATTTCTTTAAAATACAATTTCGTTAATTTTATTAAAAAAAAAAAAAAAAAAAAAAAAAAAAAAAAAAAAAAAAAAAATTGAAATAAACAGAACCTTATAAAATTGAGAACACTCGAATAGAATTACAGAAAATTAAATAAATAAATAAACTTGAAAAACCATTCTTCAAAATTTCGTTTTTTTATTTTTTAGATTTTATCTAACCTATATATTGGTAACAAGAACAAACGAAAATATCTTTGGTGTATATATATATATATATATATATATATATTTATTTCTTTACTTCAATTTTTTATTTAATTATAAAAAAAAAAACTAAGATATAATTTATAAATAAAATGTATTTCCGGTTATTGGAGTTATTGCAATACAAGATAGAAACAAAAAATTTTGTAAAAAGCAACTACCTAGCTCCCTTAAGCTACAAAGCTGTAATTTAAGCTATAATATATTATAAGTGCACGGCAATTCATCACTTTTTTATTTGAGTTTTTATCAAAAATTTTCAATTTGCTATTTGGAAATGATTGGTACTCATTTTATATTATTTATGTATAAAATATAATCACTTATAATGTTAATCTGCAATTATCTAAACACTATGTATTTAAAAGAATATCCGTTGTGTATATATGCTCGTTTCACTAAAAACTATCGACTAATTGCCTACAGCTCTAATATTACTTAAATATTAAGTAATTTTAACAGAAAAATATATAATTATTTTGATAAGGCTTCGCCATATAATAAAAATGACTAGCTTACAATACAGGAGCGGAGGTTGAGTTTAAAATTAACATTAATGTTCATATACGAAAATAAAATATTTACAAATAATTATTTATTATAAGAGTATATCATTAAGAGAGAATAGATACTTTTTCTAACTAAAATTAATTTTGAGCTCAAACTAAATCGTAATTATCCAATATTAAAAGTAATTAATATCATTTGATTTGCAAGCTTACAGCTAATGTAGAGGACAAGTCTGCGTAATAGTATTTAATGACGTATAATGCACAATAATTAAATGTATATACACAATTGTTTTTTAATCGTTTAATAAAAAAATAAAAAAATAAAAATTAAAAAAATTAGATAAATAAATAAAAAATGTGTGTGTGTGAATTAATGGTTATGCTTGTATAGTTACCTGAGCAATCGACGATAAATTACGGCGATGAAGATGCAACAGAACGTGAAATCGATGAGGATTTGGATCAGATATCGGCAAAGCAGAACAAAAGCGATACCAAATTGAAAGAAGATGTAGATGAACACAAGGTGTCTTTTTTAACATACTTCAAATTTTTTTGGGCGTTCATCAATAGCACCATGGTGTCCATGACGAAATACTTGAATAATTATTCCAATGATTATAGATATGTAAGAATTGTACTTGCCAAGGAGAAGAAACTTTTAAAGGTAAATTTTCTATGTTTGAATATACAAATTTCTGATAACGTTAATTCGAAAATTTTAATTATAAATTCTGTATTTATTTATTTGCTTAGCTAAATAATATTTACCCATCTATTAAAACTTTCAAGATACGCGTGTTTTTCTCTTTTCATTTTCTTTTGTAAACAAGCATTGAAATAATTAATAACCGAATTATTCATAGATTATTTATACTTTTGTTGTATGTTAAAAGTTATATTATATTAACGTATTGTTTAATAAAATACGGCTTGATTGGACGGGCCCTTTTAATAGATTATTCTAAGATGGCAAAATTAATTTTTTTGTACAAAATTACAAATAAAATATTCATCATTTTCTTTCAATAAATAATACCTATTATTGCGTTCACTTTATTAATAATACTATTGATCAAGGACATTTTTCAATCCAATACAAAAGCAACGTGCTGTCGATTGCTATGCCATTATATGACATATATGTTGGATTTAATTGAAAATTCATTTTTTTCATCTCTAATACTTTGTAGGCTAAGCCGGACTTTCGAATGGGCACGCGACTTGGTATAAATCAGATATGGCAGCCATTGCCGATAGTCAAGCAAAGGTAGAGAGAGTTACCGAGATTTTTTTTAATATTTGGCTGATATTGTTGAGCATTATTAGTTATGCTTCCTCAAAATTATAATTTCTTACGCAGAAACGACAGATCTTGTGATTTATTATATCACAACTAATTATACATTAATGAAAATAAAAATAAGAAAATCAAAACTTTATTAATAGTTGAAGTTGTTTTATTTTTTATTAAAGAATGTAAATTCTAGTTAAAAGATTCTTTCATCTATAAATTTATAATTCGTTTTTCTTTATGATTATATTTCATTCGTTTGCTTGCACGTTATTTATATACTTTGTGAATTATTAGTTAGTAGTAGTGAAATGCTTGCTTAAATAGATCATCCACAAATGGAAATGCTGAAGATGAAACGGAAGATCCAGGTGAAGGAACCAGCACTAAGAGCGAACAAAACAAACAAAGGTAGGTTTTCTCTTTCTTATAATAATTCATCTAGACATTATTTATCTATATTTTATTTATCTTTAGTCGTTAAATTAAATAAACTGCAAAGAATTTTCTTCATAAAATTTCGTAAAAATATTTCTTGTCTCGTTGTATATATTATTTTGCCAGAGTAACAAAATTTTTATACATTATAATTATGTAAAATTGGTCGTATATTAACATACCCTATTATTTACATGTAATATATTTGCCATTAATTTTAAATGTTTTGAGAAAGAATTAGAAGTAAGGCTAGTATAGAAGTATATAGAAGTATAGATGAGATTTATATTAGACTGGACAGTTCGTTGTTGAAGCCTCATTTTCAAATTTTAGCTTCGAGTCTAGATCAAGGGTTGAACGATCTCACCGTTAAGTATTTAAAATTCAAACGCATGTTGTTTACGTTAATAATGTTCTTTATTAAATCTTAATTATCACGAAATGTTTTATATTTTTTTATAATTTTTATATTTGCACTTTTGTAAGCGGCTTCTTAATTATTATATATACATATTATGATTTATTTTGCAATTTGCATCTTATAAATATCAATGATTTTGTTTGCAATAAAATAAATAATGGAATTGAAAATAAATGAATTATAATTGAAAGGCTTAGATATTTTTCTTAACGTATATGAGATTTTATAGTTCTTTGAATTCTTACTAATACTCGGAAAATATTAATATTAATAAATAATAAAATGTAATAAAGTGCTAAATAATGCTACTCTCTCGAATTAATTTTTTATATTACATAATTTTATATTATACATTTAGTGATATTTATAAGCGATTAAGTTTACGTGATTTTATTTTACTTATTGTAAGCAAATAATTATCAATTATTTTCGACGATGCTCCTACCGAATAATTATATACGTCTGCAAGTGAAATACATTGATGCTTGTGTTGTTTAAATTTCTTTCTTTTATGAGCAGCTCATTATTTTCGCGCGACGTCGAATACGAAGGTGAGGAAAATGATGTAGTTTTATCGGAAGTGGATCAACCACCAATCATACAACTAGCCGCGTCCATATGGTTTGGCATTTTGGCTCACTCGACATTTCTATGTTATTTCATGGTGTTTTTACATCAAATAAAAAATGCATCGATATTGTCGACTCCGTTACCATTAATGGTGTTTCTTTGGGGCTCTTTGACTATTCCAAGACCATCGAGAACGTTTTGGGTCACATTAATTGCTTACGTAGAGGTTTGTGGCTAAGATTGTTAAAATTTACCGACTAATTTAAGTTGCCGACTAATTTTTAAATATAATTGTCAAATGTACAATCCATAATAAAAAAAGAAAAAAAAAGAAAAAAAAAGAAAAAAAGAAAAACAAAACAAGCTTTAAGATGAGCAGAAATATTGAATAGTGTATTTATTATAATATAGTTAAAAAATAAGAATTTATTCATTCAATAATGTTGTTTATTGATCGGATATTTTTAAAAATTTCACAGATAATCGTGATAATAAAATGTATTTGTCAACCTGCGTTTCTATCGTGGAACAAGAAAGAAATGTCATCCTATCCATTCGAAATACCTAGAATTATAGGAGTAGAACGAAAACCCAATTATGCATTATGGGATTTGCTACTTCTATTAGTCGTTTTCTTTCACAGGTAAAAAGCATTGTCCATATATCAGGTCATGTTGTTTTTTAAATTTATATATACATGTATATATGTATATATGTATATATATATATACATGTATATATATATGTATATATATATATATATATATATAATTTTTTTTAATAAAGATTCATGCTAAAATCCTTGGGACAGTGGACGACACCATTAATAAAACCTCGGTCCATAATCCCATTAGGTTTTACGGTTGCTACTGTAAAACAAACCAACGAAATTAACGGAGACAAAATTGATACGGTAGCACAGAGTGGGCAACAAAGCAGCTCAACGTAAAAAAACTTTATATACATTTTAATTATTGTTTTCTTCTTCTATTTTTAATACAATTTCATTTTTACATTAATTGTTAAGAAAAATAAATTTTAGGAATAGTGCGTTTAATGAAATAAAAACTCCAAAAGGATTGACTCTAAGTTTGCATGTAAATGATGGAGGGAATAGAGAACTCGATGTACCACCCGTTAGCGATAGTGAAAGGATTGTTGTGATTCAAGCAACAGAACGGAATATTTTAGAGAGCGATTTTCGAAAAGCCATGCACATTACGTTAGTAATATCAAATATTTCTTACTTAAATAAATAGCGAAAATTCCATCCGAAATAATCATCGACGTTTGCTTTATTGATTATTCAAAGATAAAATTTTGTCTAAAATAATAGTAATTTTATATATTAATTTATTTCAGCACTCTTAAATATGTCGAACCTATCAGGAAGTTCTTTTTAGATATCCTTGATCCATCCGGTAAAGAGAAGACAAATGTTTACGCTTACATGTTCCTTTGTGACTTTTTTAATTTTATTCTATTGATTTTTGGATTTTCATCCTTTGGTGTAAGCTTCAAATAAGCCACGAATATTTAAAATAAATTTTATAAGAATTATATAAGCAATACCTATAGTATCGTCCTTTATAGGCTCAACAAGGCGATGGAGGAGTAGCGACTTATTTTGCCGAAAATCGTGTTCCAATGCCGTTCTTATTAATGTTATTATTGCAGTTTGCATTAATAGTTATCGATAGAGCATTGTTTTTGAAAAAATCAAGCGCTGGAAAATTGATATTTCAATACTGTCTTGTTATTGGTATTCACATATGGATGTTCATAATATTACCAAGTGCAACCGAGAGGTACTTTACATTATAATTGTATTTGATATTATTTAGCCGTAAAGCTTAATTCTTAGTCAAGAATTGAGCCTTTTAATTCCTTGATTTTCAATAATGATATTATTACTTATTTACAGGCAATTTAATACCAAAGTAATACCCCAAATCTGGTACATGGTAAAATGCTTTTACTTACTGTTCGCTGCGTACCAACTGCGCCTTGGTTATCCTACCAGAATACTCGGTAACTTTTTATGTAAAAAGTATACCCTCGTAAATTATACGCTCTTCAAAGGGTACGTTAAAACAATTCTAATTATATTTTTTATATAATATACAAAAATTGAAATTTTCATGCAGTTTCATGGTCATTCCATTCCTTTTTGAAATGAGGGCTGTTATGGACTGGATTTGGACAGACACGTCTATGACTGTGATGGACTGGTTTAAAATGGAAGATATTTTTGCTAATATATATCAAATTAAGGTATAGACATTCATTTTTTTATTGACACTTTATTTTTTTTTTATTTTTATTTTTTTTTTTTTTTTTTTTTTTGAACTATCAAATTTTAAAATATGTTGACTATGTGCCGAATTGGAAATAAATTGGTAAACAGAATTACAACCCCTTAACATTTGCCTATCAAAGATTAATAGCATAATATTTTGTTTTTGTTTTTGTTTTTGTTTCTGTTTTTGTTTCAATATTATTAAAATTATTATATATAATTTTTTTGAAGTATAATATCATATCTTTTTAATCGTAGCATGACTAATGTATTTTAATAATTTCTTATTTTTATGAAAGGACATTAGGAAATCATGAAATAATAAAATTTACGATTGCAGTGTATGCGAGGAATGGAAAGTGATTACCCACAACAAAGGGGTGTAAAGAAAACTCAGATAAGTAAATATCTAGTGGGTGGTGGTGCACTTTTCCTTATGATTGGCATGATATGGTTCCCGCTACTACTTTTTGCCCTTGGCGGCACTGTTGGTATTTCAAATCTGCCTTACGAGATGGATCTCACCATTAAAATTGGTTCTTACGATCCAATCTACAAGATCTCTGGACAAAATAGTTCAATATTTCAATATACCGAAAATAATTTCAACGATATGAAAGAATTGTACGAGGTTATACATCGCGACAGATCTGCCGTTACGTTTTTGGAAAATTATATAAACACGGATGTGGCTGTGGTGAAGTTGAGTACTGAATCTGGCAGTATTTGGAATATTTCGCCACCCGATAGAAAAAGGTTTGCTAAAAAACGTTTGTATTTAAATATTAATTTCTGTAGTGTTGAAGTTCATATTCCAATTGTCATGTTAATTAGAATTATTTGAATTAATGGTGAGTAAAGTACTTTATATAAATACATGCATTAGTATGTTGCAATGCTATCTATTAATATAAATATATAGGGAATGTCGTGAAAATTCCCAAAATAAATGAACGTTCTATTATGCTAACTTGTCGATATTAAAAATAATCAGAGCATTAAGCATGCCTTTATTAATGGAAATAATAATTGATTTGTCACGTACTTAATTGAATACTGTAAAGATGCAAGAGCATAAGAAAATAATTGTTGTTACAATTGAAATAAATGAGTGAAAGTAAAAAATTCGGAAACTTATTTATTTTCAGATTAAAAGCAGAATTAATGTCAGAAAATATTGTAACTATACGTGTAGAGTGGCAAGTATCGAGGAAACGAGCCTCAAAAGATGCATCGGGTGTAACATCGAACACACGCGACATTTTCCTTGAACCATATGTGAACGGTACGAGCAATCCAGTGCGACTAAGTTTGATACAACTATTAAGCAGAAACGACGAAAGTAACGAATTAACGGTGAAAAATGAAACCGAATTGCTAGTACCTACAAATGGAGATGTAAATCGATTTACAACTGGTAACAATAGTGTTATTTTACGAAATATTTTACCGATGTTCCTTAAAGTTACTAGTAAATCTATTACCGTTGTACCACAGTTGATGCAGCCACTTGTACATCATAAAAGTAAATATAAAATTTCAAATACAATTAGTAATTTACATTAAGATAATTAATGTCTTTCGTTTTAATTAATTGCTTACGTTTAAATGTCAAAACAACACGAGGTAATAATATTTAATAATTCTAGACAAATTTTATCTTGATGTCGAAGACGAAGAATCCAAGAGCTATGTATATCGAGATGCAACGCTAATCATAACGAATAATTCAATCAATCAAGAATGGTTTTCTATTCAAGAATCATGCAACGACAGTATTTATAATACATCTTTTAATGAAATTCCGTTGAATGATTGTTCATACATCACTATGTTCTTGTTCAATGATAAAGTCTTCCCTGAGGGTCTTAGTTTTATCAGTGGCTTAGGGTAAGGAAGATGAATATTTATTATTTTTATTCTAAAGTGGAAACGAAAGCGAATTTTATAAATAAAATAGGATGTGAAATTGGCGTAATATTAAATTGAACATAATAACAATGTAATAAAATATTATTATATTAATTATAGCAATTTAACGTAACAACGCTGACATTTATAAAGACATCACTCATAAGATACTTAAATTAATTTTATCAACTTCAAGCTAAACTGCTATCACATAGAAACAATTATTCTTAATTATTCCGTACCATCTATTAATCATTACCAATATTAATAATTATTATTATTAATATAAAATGTATCATTTTTTTCTATGATTGATTTTATTTTTAAATTAATAAACTTTTCCTTCGTGTATTATCATTTATTTCTAAGGTAATTCTTAATAATACATTTTCATAATTGGGGAAAAGTGATAATTCTTTCATAATTATTATAATAATAATTGTGTTTGTTTGTTTACTAGAATATTCGGATTATACACCACAGCCGTTATACTCGTCAGCAGTTTTATAAAAAAAATGGTGAGTGATATGGCACCCAAAATCATGTTCGAAGATTTGCCATATGTTGATCGAATATTAAGACTCTGCTTGGATATTTATCTTGTACGCGAAAGTGGAGATTTGTGCCTCGAGGAAGATCTTTTTGCAAAATTAATTTTCCTCTATAGATCACCAGAAACATTAATCAGGTAATGATCTTATAAAATAATAAAAATAATAAAAGAATTATTATAAGCATAGATTTGTAATAATCATTCACGAACATTTATAAAACGTTAAAATTCATTTTTATTATAATAATTTAATTTCAACTTGATTAAGTTGTTTTCGCATTTAATCGGTATAAAGATAAAAATAAATTATATTTGTTAGATGGACAAGATCCCCAGAACCTGATGAACAAAAGAATGGAGACGAAGATGGTGAAAATTACAATGAAATAAATGATGACGATAACAATGATGGTGTTGATGGCAATGATGATAATCAAATTCAATTGCGCAAAAGAGTCAAATCCGATGATCACATCGATTAAGTTTCGAAAGCTATATTACGAAGAAATAAAATGTTCTAATGCAAATCACTCGCTTCTTATTGTTAAATAATTATTATATAAATAATTTAGGTCATTTTGAAATTTATCATATGCATTCATTTAAGAATCTCTAAAAATTGAATGAAATATTAATTTATATGCTAATGAGAATATATATCTGTGGCCTGCATTTAAAGATATCAATAATTTTTAATATTATTTAAATTAAAATGTTGAAAATCATAATTATATTTAATTTGAATTGATTTATCATGTATACGGTTCTGTATTTCATAAACATGCTTTGTCTCTTAGATAAAATACATATTTTTTTATTATTTTAATATCTATTATAAACACAAATATGTCCCTGTCATATCATAATAATCATGATACAATACTTTTTTTATTAAAATATAAATGTTTATTTAGTAATGTAATTGTAAGTTTCTTAAATAAATTGTACATATTAAAATTTATTACTTAATTATATATAGTATAAATAATGTTTTAATAAATTTTCTTTATTTATAAAAATGCAATTTGATGACGTTTTTTATATATGCTTAGTACTTGATTACAATATAATAAACATAAACAATTTCTATGCTAATGTAAAAAAAACATAGCCTAATGTTCCTTTAAAATTTAAATAGATTACATAAAAGTATATATCTTCAGTAAGCCAGTACTTGTGTATAAATATTTATATTTATTCTTGCAGCTCCTTTATCTTTAATTTTAATGATATATTCTCTTCTTTTATTAAAGACATTTCATCCACTTTTTTCTGCAATATTTCATTTCTAGTACGTAATAAAAAAATATCTTCTCGCATCTTTTCATTTTCTTCAATTAAAACCTTAACATTGTCAAAGTTCTTGTAAAGATTTAATTCTTTCACTAATTCATTTGTTTGATGCATCAAATGTTTTATTAAATTCGCTTGTGAATTAATGTGCAAATTTTGCATCGCTCTTAATACTTTTACAGTCTCTTGCTCTGTATATCTACTTACAAGATCCTTAATGGCACTTAGAAATATTACGGGATCAGCTTTATCTAAAATATCAGATTTTTTAGTTAAAATATCGGATACACCACGATTACAATCCTTTTTCATCTCAGTTTGCGAGCCACTTTCTTTCGACGAGGAGGAATCAGTGAATGGTCGAGTATTTTCTTTACTTGATGTGTCTAAGTATCGACTAGAGCTTCCAGAACTACCCGAACGCCGATGATCGGTTACTGATTTACTCTCATGTGATTTAGATATTATTTTAACATTCTGTTGCTTCATTTTCATGTCGTCTATTCTTATTTGATATTCCAGTGGTTTCATTAAATTTTCATCCCCTTGATTTTTATCAGATTTTGGAGTAGAACTTAGTGGCTTCAATTCTGATCCAGATAATTTACAAGATTCTTGACTGCGACTCAGCCTTTTGCTTTTAATTTTAGGCACACCCGATGATGAAATAATCTTATCGTGTTTTGGTTCTGCGTTCTGATCAACATTTGATGGAGACGATAAGACTTTCCTTGTAGTTATATATCGATTATTTAATTGAGTATTACTTTGCAGATTGGGATCCTTAGGAACTAAATCTAGATCTTCTAAAAATGAATCATTCATATCGCTTTCCCTTTATTGTCTGAAAATATAAGATATTATTTTACTTCATTGTACATTTTAGGTAATAAAATTTACACATTAAATATAATACTTACATGTCTATGTAATTTAAATAAATCTTATCAATAATTGTTTATAAATTATAGTAACATTAATTATAAAGAATTGGTAAAAAAGTATCACGCAATAATTGTTTAAATTTTTAATGTGCACTTTATTAAACATATTATTAGTTATATTATAAATGATATAAATAAATAATTAATAATTGACCATACCTGTAAGGAGATACGATAGTATTGTTTTGAATTTCATAAACTTGTTACAGTGATATTTTTCACAATCAATTGGCTCAGTTCCATTAAAAAATACTCTAATTTATCTGATAGCCGACCGTTTACAATATTTCACATTTACAAACACATCGATTATAAAGCAATAGTACAAATATCTTCCAATTCGTTGTTTTAAAATATAGACTTACAATATTAATAACTTACTAATTATATGATAATAATAGGGAAACGTAATTACTTAGTTGAAACAGTTTAAACTTGTAGCTATTGCAAAATTATAACTTTTAACTTCTTGTCAATCAGCTGTGTTAGCGCGCGTTCAAAATAAAAAGTACCAACTGTATAAAGAAAAAAAAAGTAGTGTTTGCTTAAAATAACCAATCTTGAATACTTTGAATATTAAAACTTATTTTTTAATAAATTTTTTTTAGATGCAAACATTGGCAATGAAGGAGAAATAATTTTTCTTTTTAAATTAGAATTTCTATTTTGATAAATGAAAGTGCAATTTAAACCAATGAAAATTTATTTTACGATGGTATATTAAATGATTTGCTCTGTGTACGATTTATAAACGAGGATTGGCTATTAAATCCGATATTTATAATATATAACCCATAAATCAATAAATTTATATTTTACATATCTATATTATATATTATATATTTTTTTTAATGATAATTGAATCACTTTAGGTTGTTTGAATGAATCAAGTGAGTATTCCAAGTGGCAGGTATTTTCCATTATATATTAGCTTTTGGGATAATTCAAAGTTTATATTAATGACCAGAGGGGCGTATTCGCACATTATGATAAAATTAGCAAAACTATTACTTGGAACTCGATGTCTCGATATCATTATTTAATATTTTCATTAAATAATTTAATATTCATGTTTCATATTACTGGACCATTATTCTTCGCTATTCCTATTTCAAGATAAATTCATACGACCATGATTTTTGCCTACGATAATGAGAGAAATATCATCGATGACGTCATCTTTATAAATAATAGGCGCAGTAAGCAATCGCACATGTAGAGTTGGGATGAGGAAGTTTCAGTTTTCAATACCCACATCATTTACGCAATAGCCGAGTTATTGAATTAGTAGTTGGACACTCTGTCACTTGCCATTTGTTTTCGAAAGCTTGATTCAACAGAAAGTCTAAGTCGTCGACATTACGGCAATAATGAAAGGATTGATCATTGTTTTCCTAACCGTCGTAACTTACGACTTTACCTTTGCTTTTACCAATGTGTATCCGAAATTAAAATCGTATCCTGTACGCGATAACGAGGATGTTGGAGATCCGCTGTTTTTGACACCTTTTATTGAAAGCGGACAGATCGACATGGCACGAAAGAAGGCTGCGGTACAGCACAAAGAAATGAATGATATAAGCAGTTACGCAGGCTATTTAACAGTTAATAAGACATATAATTCTAATATATACTTTTGGTTCTTCCCAGCTCAGGTAATTGTATTACTATTAATTTTTATATTTCCTTTAGCTTCACGGCGTCAAATATTTCATCGATTATTATTAAACTAGCATACTGTTTCTAATGTTAAATTCTTAAGTTAAATTTATTAAAAGCCGAATGTCGATCGAATGCGTGCATCGTGTATAACTGATTTCATGTACTTTTAATCTGACAAATATTTGCACGATGTACTATCGATCACCATTATATTATCAAGAATAATTAATACCCTTTAATGCAGATAAATCCAAAAAGTGCTCCGGTAGTGCTGTGGCTACAAGGTGGTCCAGGGGCAACATCTTTATTTGGACTTTTTACCGAAAATGGGCCTTTCAGTGTCACAAGGAACAAAACTCTAAAAACAAGAAAATATTCGTGGAACATTAATCATAATCTTTTGTATATTGATAATCCAGTTGGCACTGGATATAGTTTTACAGAAAATGACTTTGGATATGCTGTAAATGAAATTGATATCGGGCGTGATATACATACAGCACTGGCTCAATTCTTCATTCTTTTTCCTGAGCTTCAGCAAAATGAATTTTATGTAACTGGAGAGTCCTATGCTGGAAAGTACGTTCCAGCTGTATCGTTTGCAATAAAGGAAAATAATGTTAAGGCCAAAATTAAAATAAACTTAAAAGGTCTTGCCATTGGAAATGGATTGACGGATCCCTTTAATCAGTTGTACTATAGCGATTATTTATATCAAATTGGACTTCTTGATTTCAATGGCAGAAACCAGTTTCAGGCATTAGAAAGTCAAGCGAGAAATTACATTAAGGAACAAAAATATATGGATGCTTTTAAGATCTTTCAAAAACTGATAAATGATGATATGACCAGTACACCGTCGTTATTTAAAAACTTGACTGGTTTCGATTTTTATTTTAATTACCTGCACAATCAAGAATCGAATAGTACCAGTTGGTTTGCTGAATGGGTACAAAGAGCGGATGTTCGTAAAGCCATACACGTGGGAAATTATTCATTCAGTACCGAAGCAGAAAAAGTCGAAGAACATCTCAGAGAAGACATCACGAAATCTGCGACATTTTTCATATCTGATCTGTTACAACACTACAAAGTTTTAATTTACAATGGTCAATTGGATATTATTGTTGCGTATCCTCTTACTGAAAATTATTTACAAAATTTGGATTGGCCAGATTTGAACAACTATAAAAAAGCAGTGAGAAAGCAGTGGTGGGTAGGAAAAGAACTAGCTGGATATTCAAAATCTATAGGTAATTTAACGGAAGTACTTGTCAGAAATGCTGGTCACATGGTACCCGGAGATCAACCTATGTGGGCTTGGGACATGATTACTCGATTCACTCATCACAAATCGTTTTAATTCTTTCTAATACAAATTATATTATCATAATTACTTATGTTACAAAGTTTTATAAGACTGTAAAAAATACTTTCCAGGTGATATAAATAACTTGTGATGTAGAATAAGATTTATAAGCAACTTTGTTATGATTTTATACAAACACAGATTTTAGTATTTACATTAGATTATAAGATTATTGCAGTTAAAACTTATTAATTCATTGATATATTAAATGTTTATATGATGAATGTAATATTTAAATTTAAGTTAGTTAACTGAAATTTATAGATTTTCATTTTCTTAATACCACTAACTCTAAAAATTATTCAAATATATATTTTTTTTATGGATAAATTAGTTATTTGTTATACCTTATTGAATGTGTATATAAACATAAGGTAAATACTTATTTTCAAATATCGATTATTTAATAAACAAGTATTATAAATAAAGATATTGATGTAAAGGGATTATGATCCAGGCACGTGGTATCTTGATAATTTGGTACATTTTGAAATTTTGTAAATTTTTGAATAAGATATAAAGTTTATTTTCTCATTTTGATCTAATAATAACTTTCATTTTTAAGTCTTAAAATCAAAACATAAAATTTAATGGCAATATAATTTAATAATTAAAATTTATTTGTCAATATTTTCAACAACGTAAATGATTGAATACTTTTAATTTTAATTACACCAATTATCATTGATTTATTAATATTCGCTCAGTTTGGTAATTCAATGACTTAATTTCAATTACATATTGAAATATTAATGTTGAAAGTATAAGAATAAGCGATTTGAAACTGAATTTTTATTTTCATACAAAATTAATGATTACAAGTGAATTTCTGTTCAACCAAAGTGAAGTGAACCACGTAAAAATTGAAATTTTATGCCTATTAGAATTCCATTGCGTGATCAACAACAAACAAATAATTGAAGAATTTTATGTTAAATATTAATTAGATACATAGAGTCAAATCATCGAAAAGCTGGAATCGGATATTAGGAGTAGAGAAGAGGTGCGGTGAGTAACGTAAATATACAAAACTATTTAACAATATTGATATTGTTAAATAGCTCGATAGTGACAATTTTAAAATAAAAAGTATTTAAATTTTATAAAGTAGTATGTAATTTAATGATAAATAACTTTCTATGTTATTTTTAATAAAATGAAGTCATCGATGGTCTTAAGCTTATTAATAAAAAATAATTACTCATTACTGTAAATTTTAAGCTTAAATAAAGTACTGTACTTATAATTAAAGAGTTTTCTAATAAATTAAACACAACTGTCGGGAAAGCTCTTGAAATATTATTATTTTAATTCTTAAACTAACTAATCTTAAAATTCCATACGAATATATTTAATTTACATTTTATGAACATTGACAGTTCATTGAAATACGTTTTCTGATTTTATAGTCAAATTATGCTAAAACCAAAAAATATTTGAAAACAAAAATGTTTCACAATTTCAATTTTATAGACAAGCATAATTTAAATAAAAGAAGGATTTCATGAGATAAAAATTCATGCATTTTTCAATATATAAGGAGGTTTCTAAATTAAATTAGTTTAATTAAATTTAATTTCCAATTAATATTCATCATTTAATTTAATTTTAGTTTTTACCACTAGTTTTCTATTACATAATATTCCTTTATAATTAGATTTATTTTCATAATATTATGATACAAAATGAATGTAGTTGTGAAAAAGTAAATAGAAATTCCAAAAATCTTGAATTTCTAATTAAACGTGTCAAATTATTGTTATAAATGTCAATTATTATAAAAATATTATTTATGTTTAAAAATATACTGAAAATGATTAAAACACGTTAAATAGAGTTTACCAAATCAAGTAAATGTTTTAGAAAATTCTTAGAATATTAGAACAATCATTTAATTAACGCCAGTTATTGTTGTACAACAAACAACAACAAACAAAAAATAGTACAAAACTATTATTTTGTTGAAAAAATTATGAATAAAAACACTCTGATGTTACTGGAATTTTTCATTCGCTAATAAATCAGATTTTTAACAAAGCATTTGAGTATAATTTATTAATGATATTTTATAAGACAATTTAATTTGTAATATGATAAAGTAAATGTAAGATAAATTTTCTGATGCATAAATATTGATTAATATATAGCTTAGGTTCTAGGTTTTGAATTCTGTAGTTTATTACTTTGTCAGTTTCTAAATAATTATTAAACTCAATTGTACAGTGATTATATTTAACAAATTAATGATACTTATAATAGTTATATTTCTTGATAAATAATAATCAACAATTTTACTTTACCTACATTTCATTAGGTATTTTTTAATTAATGAACAAATCCACTACTGGAGTTTATGATAATAATTATTTGATGTTAGGATGTGTAAATTTGTACGTTATTATTTGTAGTCATGTAAAAACTAAATAAATTAAACATACAAATATTTTATATCAAAATTCATTTTTATTATTTATGTAAAAATATTTATGTTAAATTTATAATTGATACGTCGTCGATAAACTGGTATAAAAATATAGAAGAATCTTAATAAAAGAATAAATTTATTTTGATAGTACAATATTTTACAAAATTACTAAATATTTACAACAACTATAAAACTCTACTATAAAATTTCTTTTATATATTACATTAGTTTTTGCTTAAGTGTAACAGTCTTCATGATGTAAATATAACAGGCTATTATTTCGTTAAGTATTTGCAATCTCATACTAGGATGTCGATTACATATTTATCATTTAATTTAAATATGGAAGAATAAATTGATCTACTATCGATATATTCTTATGCCATTCAAAATGTGGTATTCCTGGCACAGTATGGAATATCAGCTTCTTTTGTTTGTCCATTGTTTTTAATCCAATCAAATCATTTTTATATTCATCTCTATTATGCATTTCAACGATAGTTTCATTTTTATCAAAATATCCAAATTGACTGCTTTGCCATGGTGTAATAACGCCATCGTCAGGTCCTCCAATAAGCACCATTTTGTCCAGTTTTATTAAACCATATTTAGAAACTGTTTTATTCTTCTCATTATTAACAAGTGGTAAAAATTTACTATATTTATAATACAGCTCCTAAATATAAGATTATTTTCTAAGCATTATTGCAAAATTTATAATATTTTAGAAATTATTATTATTCAAAAATACTCTTTTTAGAAATATTATCTTACAAAATCTAAAAAGTGATTTTTAATTTATATTTACTTATATGTATTATCTCTACTATATTATAGAATATAAATAATTGATAAGGGCAATAATTAATTTTTTTTTTAGAATGTAAATTATAATTACTTGATGATGTGGATCGTTCCAATAGTTTCCTACACTTGTATGCTGTCCAATTTTTGAATAAAATAATTCGTAAGCAGTTTCGCACATTAAGTCTGGAAATATCAGATGTAAAAAACGTGCTGAAAATGAGAGAATTAATAAAGTGAATGTAAAGATAACAAAATTTTTTTATAAAAATTAAGATTTCAACCTTACTTCCATATTGACCAGCTTGAGGTGAACTCAACGATATGAAATTTTTAACATTATGATCGGGGAATCTTTGCAATATGGCTCTAGCTAATAATCCACCTTGACTATAGCCAAGTAAATTAATGCCTTCTGGAAAAGCAGCGCCTATTGACAAAATATCATTTCCTATCTCCTCTACTTGTCTCCACATTGGCTCCAAACTCGACCATCCAGCATACCTTTGAGTGTTATATATTTGTGTTCCAGGATGCATCTAGTGCAAAAATTTAAATTATTTTCAAATGTAAATGATTAATTATTATTAAATTTATATATATATATATATATATATATATATATAAATACACATATATGAAATTTAAAATAAAGTAACTTGTATTTCAGGCAAATCATTAATTAAATTAAATTAAATAGCATCTTAATGTTTATATGGTAATTTTGAAAACAAAGAATTATTTTAATATAATTTTTCAATATTTAAAATTTTTTAATTTAAATATAAGGAAGATAGTAATTAAGTCACTTGAAAAATAATCAATTCATGACTTACAATTAATTTTTGTAATATAGAAATACATTATATGTACTTTATATGTAAAACAAAATTTTTTATTTTATAGATACAAAACAGTATAGAATATACATAATAAGAAATTTAGTATCATGAATAAATAATATATATATATTCGTTTTACTGCCTTTATTAAAAATCAATGAGATTAATAGCATAAAGAGGAAAAGTTTTAAAATTTTAAATTTGAATTAAATATAAGTACAAACCTAAATATATTTGCTTCTATAATTAAAATGTTTTTTCGATATTTAAAACATTAGTTTAATATTAACGATATAAATAAAATTTTAGTATCTTCGTATTGGAATGCACTTGACAACAAATACTTATTCCTATTGATGAATAATGACAACTTAATAATAGAAATACATCTAATCTACCTCTTTTATTCGATTTGTTATTGTCTCCATACTATCACTACCTGTGAGAATGCCATGTATAACTGCCACAGCACGATAAGACTTTGCAACATTGTTTGACAGAATTAACGTCACTATTATTATAAAAAGAGTATATGCATTGTTAGGTCTTAAAAGACAACAAAACATTATCACCTTCTTCCCAAAACTCTAAAACTTAAATACTAATCAGGTTTCTAGCTGCTGGCCTTTTGTAGCGACCAAGCAGTTCTTGATTGTAAAAACATCCGCAACAGCAGCACGTGTCACAAAGCAAAACGACCGTCGGTTATGCAAACTTAATCTCTCGGCTCTGTTCGTTCGAAAAAACAACACAACGACACTTGAAAGTCGCACTGAAACTCCTGGAGAAATGCCACAGATGTCAGGCCATTATTGCTTTAAGCCTCCCAATGTCACACAATATAATAGGATTTTAAGGATAATACAGATTGTAGGCATATTGACTTATTAGATATTAAATTCAATGATGACGATCCATAATAATAATTCTTGAGAAAATTAAACTAAACTAACTAGCAATTAAAATTGTTTGCTATCTTTAGTCTGATTACAAATAAATTACATTCGACCATTAAAAGTATTTTTTAACGTTTGATTATTGTGAGAATCTATTTTGCCTATTACAATATCTATTTTATTCGATATAAAGGATATTTGTTATATAAAACTATATAAATTTTAAGATTAATAGAATAGATAGTTAAAATTAATCGTATTTATCTGTCGATAAAATGCCTATGAAGGATTAAAATTAAAAATTTTAATAGCACAGTTTAGGAATTACGAATTTATATTCAAACAATAATGGAATATTTCAAGAATTGAGATAATTATATGGAGAAAATTAGAACTTTTTTGCATATTTAATTGAATATTTTAATAATAGGTAATATAATAATATGTAAAATCTTTCGTCGACAAATCATCTATTAAGCATTTACATTATATATTTATTCACTTGACAATGAAAATTTGTAATATCTATTCGTAATATTAGTTAAAAAATTCTGTAGAATATGTTACTGTTCAAAGGGATTACGGCTCTCCTAAAAATTTCTTATATAATATCTTTATCACAGTGTGTTTTAGAAACATTTTGATGTTAAAACTATTGGGAATAAAGTTTTAGGAAAGCTGCATTGTTACCATTTTATCTGAATTTAATATAATAATGTATTGCTATTGACTATTTTTGTACTAATAAGAAAAGAAAACATTTGCGAGAACAGATGGACTGTACACGCGCATGTATCTATTATATATTAAATCGCGGCCATAATTCAAATATTTAATAATAAGTATTAAAAAAATCACTACTATTCACTCTGAATTGAACGATGAATGAGGATCGGAGAAGTTCACACGAAGTATTCAAATTTCAAGTTCATTTCAAGTTCCTCGTTACGCATTCCCAATTACTAACCGATAACAGGTGTCGGATGATAAAGGATATATAATTTTGTTAAGCGTATCACAAGAGGGACATTATATAAGAAACTGAAAGGGCATTGTTCTCCTTATCTTGAAACTGGAATCTATACCACAATGCTCCTGAAATATTATAAATGCACATTATAAATTTTTTCAATCACGTTACTTCCAAATTAATACATCAAAAGCACATATTCACTATTTTTATCCATTTGGATCGTTGTGCAAGTATTAAGTAATAAGAAAAACATAAAGGTTAATGTTTATCTATCTATTATATATCTTTATATTATATAATAGATAAAATTCTCATTAGAAAATCCATTTGGAAAAACGTTAAGTATACATCCATTTATAAACATATTGAGAATTACATCGATGACACGATAAAAATTAAATAATTAAAATAATGAAGTTTTTATCGATGTGCTCTTATTGTCGGACTATAGATCATATTGATAACAATAAAGAGGCGTAAAGTGGACGAAGCAAATAACAACGGTTTAGTTACACATAAACAACAACAACAACAACAATAATCATTCTTTTCTTTACAACATACATTACACTTGGTCCCAATAGCTAGTCATCTACAATTCATAGTTAAATGTTGATGAAAACTATTAAAGAGTTATGGTAAATAAATTTTCAATTGAGATGGGTAATGAGAAGATTCTAATCATTAATTTAAAACTTATACAAACATTATTTATTTCTTTTATAGAGAAAATTACAAACGTGCAGTTAGAAATCAATAGAATACGCGGTGAAGAAGAGATGGTAGAAATACTTGAAAATGATGAAGAAAAGCACGAGTTGCTGTGATTTTACAAGAGGTGCTAGAGTGCGAACAATTAATAAAGGTGAAAATTTTCAGATGATCTTCTGGAACATCACGGTGGTCGACGTATAAAAATACTTTAGTTATTATATAAATTATTATATTATATCGATAAGAATCTATTTTCAATAAACAATCAATGATATTAAAAAATAAGGGCATTTTTAATATAATAGCAAATTTTAATATCATAGTGATGGACAATTTTCAACAATACCAACTACAATCGATGATCGACCGATAGTGGAGATATTTTGAAAAATATATTTGTAACTCCTTGATATGCCGGTGCGGACGGATACTGTAATACCGCGTAATAAATTTTTATAAGATCTAATAGATTTTTATATGATAATACAAGTTTCAATATATTATAACGAACAATTCAAATATGCCACGAGTGAACGTAAGCTTTTGTGTGTGTGTGTGTGTGTGTGTGTGTGTGTGTGTGTGTGTGTGTGTAAATAAATAGAGAAAAATATATTATATAACGTCATTCGTTTCTATACCGATAATTGGAATCTTAGCGAACAATGATCAAAAAGGCTCTTCGGCGAAATATGCCGCTAAAATGGTGGGCTAAAATTCTTTTTATACATTTTTTATCTTAAGATATAAAATACGGAGAATTATATTTTGATTAAAAATTTGTATTATAATTCAAGATTCAACAGAGTAAGTAAAGGAATTTAGGCTTTCTAATAGTCGTATTTTTCAATTCATAATAATATCGTAATTATAAAATTTAGTTTATTTAGTCCTGTAAATAGAAAATAAAATCTTTTCCTCTAAATATTAATGTCCTTCTTAAAGCTAATTTCATATTAGGTTTGAATAAATTGCATCAAAAACCGACTTGATACGTACGTAATCAGATAGTTCTGGGTGCATGTTTGTAAATCCTTATGGAATGTATCAAACAAAATAAGTATAAAATTATGTTCAATTTTTATAAAAACCTATAGTAATAAAATATGTATTAATAACACGAACCCCAATGCATTTAAAAAATTGAATGATGAAACATTTACTATCCATATACAAACATTTGTATACAATTAATTTATTAAGTAATCAATGAATGAAGAAAAGCGAAAGAAAAGGTAAAATTACAAATAATTACATTATTATTATAGTTTTTATTACAGATTTTAAATATCTCTTCCTATTTTAAATACGCTTATAACGTACGAATTATAACAGATAAATTATTAATGTAAAGATACGCCAATTTATTTGTATATTATTGTATTATACGATGTATATAATTAATGTAAATTATATAATAAATTTAACGATTTAAACAATTATTTATATACATTTAATATTATAAATTTATAGGAAGCTAAATTCACATTTGTGAGTATTCTATGTCCTTTGTGCAAAAAATTATTTATATTAAAGCACTTGTATAACTTGTATAACATCCATTATATATAATATAATTGTTTAATCATATAAAATACATTAATAAGTTTTATACACCAACAATTGTTTTTCTTACTATCCTTATTCATGAAGAAAATGAAAATTTGTTTATGTTAAAGGGAAGAAGTCACTGTTAGAGAATGAAAGAAAGAAAGGAAGAAAGTAATGACAGAGAAAATAGAACAAAGAACCACATAGCGTGTACACCCATATGGACTCATATGCAATCACGTAAGCAAGAAAAGTCACATATACCCACTATATAGCCCAATCGACCATTCAAGCTTAATTATATACATACATGATAATTGCACGAAAAAATTGCATAATTTTATTTTTAAAGGCGTTCAAGTTATGACGATTTTCGTGATTTTATTAATATGAACAAATTTGGACGGTGATATGTTTATTATTACAGAGTTAGTTATTAGATTTTCAGATTCTTCGATTTAATTGGCAAATTCTAGATGAAATAATTTGTTTACATCTTAAGCTTTTTCTTAATCTTGAAGGTCTAATTATATCAGATTCGCTTGCACGACATCTCAAGGTTATTCGATGACAATTATAGTATACATTGAACGTGACATACAATGGATTTTCTCTTAAACAGATTTTTTCAAAACCATAATTTAGTCTTAATTCAGACTGTAAACTAAATATAAAATAACCTTAAAATTTAATTATAATTATAAAAATTTAATATAATTTTTTATCTTTATACAATTTTAACGGTCTACTTAAATCTTCCCAATTTACCGAAATATAGTATTTTTAAATAATTATAAACAATTATTAAGGTATTAGAGTCATAGTAAGAATAGTCATAGTAAGAGTGTAAGAATACTTACACCAATAAATGAAAATTACGAGTATGATAAAATTATGATAAAATTCAGTGTTTGAAAAATCTTGCATAAATTTAATGATGTTTACGATGCTTTAGTCAATATTCGATAATAATTTAATAATATAAGTGCCATTGAAAATTCATGTAAAAATGAAAACATAATACCTTCTCTATATGTAGTTAATTATTCATACGTAATTGGAAAAAAAAAAAATAAAATATACATCTTCTCAATTAAAGCACTGAAAATAAAAAGTTCTGTAATATATCTGTAATAAATATTGAGAATTTTATATATTAAATTATGTATTCATATCTATTAAAATTTCTATTCAACCGTTTATTAAAGAAAAAATCAATTATATACGTGTTTCTTTTTAATAAAAAAAGAACAATTATAATAATAAATCCTTGTTAATAAAAACCTTTTGTCTCTTACATCAATAGATTATTATATAGAGATGCTCGTTTATGTAATTTAAATAATTTATTCTAATATATTTATATTATGATAGCAATATAATTTGATGACATGCAAAATTTGCAGCACAAATTTTCTTAAAGTATTTACAAAATCTCTGCTTTTCAAATATCACCTAAATTTAAATTTTCAATTTTCAAATCCTATTTGAAAATATATTACAATG